CACAAACACTAAACCCCATCATGGTGACACACATGAAACTGAAATAATGCAATAAATATTCATTTAACAACATTAGATGTGAGATGTACACCCTAATGTACACAACTGATAAGAAAAAAACTAAGAAGAAGAAACATGTTATTTCAACAAAAAAACATCTAATATGAAGCCTCATGCAGGGAATTCTGGGAGTGTCAATTTACTGTAAATTATACATTTTTCTTTTTCACTTCCAAAAACCGTAGTAAGTTTTACTGTAAAATGACATTAAATGTAATTACATTTCTTCACCGTATATAGTATGGAAACTTACTGTTAACCAGTTAACAGGTTTTTACTGTTAAAATCACAATCATGTTTTACAGTGCAACAACTGAACCCTATTTCCAGTGTGTGATTACTAAAAATTAAATTTTTTTAGTAAATTTGCATCAAGCATAATACTAATTTGTAGTTAGTTAGTTATTAATCATGGTTTTTGAAAAAATGTTCTGTATTTTAAATGAAAGAGCTTGACATTTTCTATTGAATTCTCTCTGAAGTGTTCTGAGATGCAATCCAGTGAGTGTGAGAGGTCACTCTTAAGAATAAAAGTTGCGTTTTTTTATCATGGTTCCATGAATCACCTTTAACACCCATGGAATCTAAAGCTTCTTTATATTGTAAAAAAAAAAAAAAAAGTTCATTAGATTTTTAAAATGTTTCACACTTAGTTTTTTTTTTTAGAGTAAGGTTCACAAAAAGAATCCAGAAGAGGTTTCTTTATGGCATCACTGTTTTGGAAGCTGTATTTTTAAGAGTGCAGTACAGGGCTGCTGTTCTTTGCTGATGAACCTGAAATTCCTGCTCTGCACCTAAAGAGGTCAGTCACATTCAGGTTTCCTCTCAGAACCAGAATCAGTGTCCTTATACTCACAATCAATGAAGATCACTGTACACAGACACACTTTGAGACAGTGGGACACTTAATAACAGTGCTATACTAATACTAATTATATTAATAATATTTATTAAATTAAATTAAATTAATTTTATGTCTCTACTTCATGCTGAGCCTAAACAGGAAAAGTCACCAGCAACCGTTACCTTAAAGAGCTACTTCTACCTGCTTTAACACACAACTAGTTTTGTTGGTTTAAATCGACGTATGTACTTTGGTTCAGTGATGGCCAGTTCATTTAGATGTAGATCTAATCATTTGTTTGTTTGTTTGTCTGTTCAAGACATCCATTCAGAATGTTTAACTCTTTAATCTAATGTTAATTTCCAGGAAATAATGATCAGTTTCTCAAGCATTCATACACAAAGAGTTTCAAAATAAAACATGCATGAGCGTTCAAGCTGGATTTCAATGGATTAGCTATTTTGCTCTGAATTTTTCTGGCTCCTCGTCTTACAGTCTGATGCTTTAGTAACTGGATTATTAATAAATGTAAAATGAATGAATTAACACATGCAACATGCCTTTTCCCCCCAAGTTTTTTGCAGTTTTTTTCCCCTTGTCCTGCTTAATGAGGGGAGAATTAAAAAATAATAATACATACCACATTACAATATTCTTTCTCTCCCTCTTTCTTTCTTTCTTTCTCATTTTCTTTTTTTTATTTCTTTATTTCTTTATTGTTCATAAATCAGAACTAGAAATAAACAAATATTGCATCTGTACTACATTTTCTGTGAAATGAGAGAAACAACAGTAGTTCAAAAAAATACCTCTTTTGACTTCCAGTTAATAATCATCAGATGAGAACGCATAATTAACACACATGCACACAGACATGTTCACACACGTGTCTCGGAGGGGACTTTCCATTGACTTGTATTTTTTATTTTTTTACCTGAGCTAATGTTATTTTCTATCCCGTAAGCCCACAAACAAACCTTTCTCGATCAAGAAGCATTTTTAATTAAGAAGACATGAATTGGTTGTAAAGCTGTTGTTGGAGCTGATTTCAGCTCTTATACTATCACATCGGGGACGTTTGGTCTTAGACAAAACCTGAGCAACACACACACACACACACACACACACACACACACGTGGTGGTTTGTGTTCACTCAAAGACCTAAAGAGTTATCCATCATAAGAATCGACATCCTGTCCAATGCCACATCAGTGTCCCTGTGCTCCGCTCCAGCCGCCCTCTCACCACTACAAACACACCACACCAGCTCAACACGGCTCTTCAGTCTCCTCCAAGGAAAGAAAAACTAGCTAGCAATGAATGCAGTGAATCAAATCATACTTCAAAATCCCACCAGATGAATCCGGTGAAAACTGAGCGTGTGCTTTCGTGAGAATCCTGCCCGTCTGCACAATAACAATCAGAATTTTAAAATGAAACTAGAAAGCATTAATGTCTCATAATTATAGATTTAGATACAGTAATGTTTGGATCATGTTAACAGTGAGGTTAGATGTGATGCTGCTTCAAGTTTTAAAAGATTAAAGATAGATTTTTTTCCCCAAAAACATCAAATGTTTGTTACAACTGTTTGAATTCATTATAAAAATGAAGTTATTGTGTTACACTGACTATGAAGTTCTGTCAACCAGCTAGCCATAATGTTCAACTGTTTTAATGGATTCAAATGTAAAAATTAACAATGTAAAAATGTATTTAAAAACCGGATGGCAATTATGAATGCTGTGATGTCAAGCCATCCATTCTCCAAATCTTATAATATTAATATTAGAATATTAGAATATCAATGTTAGAATACTAAAGTCAGAAACACATACAGTGTTATTTTAGTATCATTAAGATACTCTTATAAATTGTATTAATGTTTTTTTTTTTCATTTTAGTAATTTTGTTGAGCGCTTTTGTCATTTTCAGTAGTTTTTCTTTGCTTTATATTTGTCTACATAGTTTCCTAAATGTTTATTTTAGCTTTAATTGTTTTAGTTTATCGAAATTAAAATGACTTGGAAATTAGATGAAATAAAAAGTTCAGTTCATGTCAGTTCGTGATTGTTTTATTTCAAGCAATGGAAATGTTTTTAGTGGTTTTAATTTTAGTTTCAGTTTTAGTTCACTGCAATGCTGTGATGATACGCATCCATTCAAGCTGCTAACGAACTTAGATCATACAGTACTCTCTGCTGACAACTGAATCGTTTTAATGCATGATGATGTGTGTAGAACTGATAAGAATCCAGTGGCATTCAGAAGAACTGATGCAATCTTATATATTATCAGAAGCGGGAGTCAGTTATGGTGAAACAGTAGCTGTGTTGACAGAAGATGATGTGCTGATGTAAATGCAACCTCAAGTGATTTTTCATTGTCAAGGTAAAAAAAAAGAATATGCTCATGCTTTAATGAACCCTTATAAAAGCATATGCATGCCACATATAATATATATGATGTGGTCATACTTCATTCATGTTATTGAACATTTAATAGAGCATATATGCATGAAGACTGATGTCTCTCTGGCATCTAGTTCTCCCTTTTTCTATGTATCTGATGAACCCAGAGAGGATCTCACTACAGCAAAGAAGCAGACGCTCATCTGAAGGTCCTGTAGGGAAGCTATTGAGCCCCAAAGAGCCATAAAGCAGCTTTTCAACAAGAAGAGGGATTTATTCTCTGAATCTGTGTTGAAGTGATGTAAGTGCCGGGGTGGAAACAAATATCATTTCTGCTGTCAAATTGATACTGACATTAATAGTTCATGCAGCTAGTAAACACAACAGAGCATTTCAAGTATTTCTGCTTTTCTGTTTGTTTCTAAAAAGCAAGGCATTGAGAAACCAACAGGAGACTTTACCGCCAAACGAACCTCTTTTATTCTTCTACTGTAAGAAAAAAATCAGAAAACAGACATTATCTGGTATGTTTTCTTCTTCCAGACAATTCATTTAACCTTAGAGTCAAGCTGTTAAAAATACAGAAACACCTGACTTTCCTTTTCTTGATAATTTTGTGGTGTGCAATGGGATGACATGAATGTGCTGAATATTGCATGCATTACTTACATGGCATATACTCCTGCTACATTTTTACTTATTCAAATGTATATGTTTGCATAGTAAAATGTGTGCTCTTTTAAAGGGCATTAAAATGTTGCATTTTATTTCAACCTCATTCCCAGCTCAGGTCTGGAGATCAGCTGCTCTCAAAAACAGGTCTCAAGTCTGTTCTGATCAGTTCATGGACAGCAGAGGAAAAATGTTACATGCAAACAATGAAATGCAATTAACCCTATAATTATGCATGCTATAAAATACAATTTAGAAGGAGGAGAAACACTTCCCATGGCTTTTTGTTGTCGATGCCCCATCATACAGTACAGTCTTTTGCTTCAAATTCATCCGTCACTTATAACAATGTCAAATGCTAATACAGTATTTTGCATATTATTATTGTATGACATCAATATATTTTGATGTTCAAAGGAATTTTCGTCTTTTTATACAATAAAACGTTTTCTGTTAGTTGCCACTTCATGATCCTGAAGCCAAACAAGCAGAGAAGCAAATTTCACTAAATGCAATTTTTTTCATTTGTAAAATTAAGGGTAGTAGTTGAGATGCACCTGATTTAGTGATTTACTTTAACCCCTTTTTCCGTTTTGGAAATCTCCTCATGAAGTTCGTGGAAAAAAGTTGAGATTGGATGGAAAATAATGTTTCTGCTAATGCACACAAAGTAACATTTATAAACTGAATTTTCCACTGAGGTGAGCTGCAGCAGTGCAGCACGTTTTTGCACGATCAAATCTCGCGCATCTTAAAATAGAAGCCGCGTGTCGGTTTACAGCAAGAATGCAGAGAGATTATGCTTTTTCATTAATGTGTTATGCACGCGTGTGCAGATGAGCGCGTGCTGTGTGTCGAATGTCGGTTTGTGTGTCAGTGCAGGTCTCGAGCGTTGTGTGTGTGTTACGCGAGTGAAGCACGAGGCTTGACTGGTTGTGCTTCACATCAAAGGCTCAGGCAAGTCTCTGCATTAACAAGCCCCTTTGTTTCCTGCCAGAGAGAGAGAGATTACAACAGCAGCAGCACGTGAATCCTCCATAAGCACCATTGTGGAGATGCCTTGAGCCTTGAGAGTGCTGAAATGTCCAAACTTCAATGCAATCTTCATGTTTCTGACCCTTGTGTATCTGGGTGCGGCCAATAAAACACACACAAGTGCACTTGAGTTAAACTGTGTTCCTTTGGATGTGGCTCGACCTCATTTATTTAATTAGTCTGCTACTTAAATGTGCCTGGAGATTACTTAGGAAGTGCAGCATGTAATTTTTAGGAACTGCATTTATCCTCGAAACCATCAAAGCTTGCAGTGCCACTGAAATGAGGCAGAGTGGGGGTTTATTCCACTCAGAATGTAGCTGGAAAGCTCCCAAACAGCATTGTACTCTTCCTCTCTTGACCCTCTTGTTTTATTTCTTGGCTTTGCCAAATGTGTCACCTACCAAAATCGAACCTAGTGGTGCATATTATGGTGTCTCTAAAAGTAAAATTTATTTAAAGGGGTCATATGATGCTGCTAAAAAGAACATTATTGTAAAACAACAATACTACAGCGAGAATAAAAGTTACGCCTTCTTTCTTTGCGTGCACATTTGGGCGGCGTTATGCAAATCTTCCCACATAGTGATGTAGACATGTGGGGGCGTGTTAGAACGAGCCGTTTTAGGTAGGTGTGGCAGACTCTTAACTTTTATAAAGAATATCTCTTAGGATTTGAGACTACTTTACAGATCTTCTTTATGCACCAAGAGCTTGTAACACTCCAAAGAGAAAGGAAGAATTGAAATAGCATCATATGATCTCCTTAAAAAATATTCACAAGGATTTGAGATTGTATTAATTTCTCACTGCCCCTTTCTAATGAATTATTTCATCCACAAACAAGCAACAGACAGTCAACCTTTGTGCTGCACTGAAAATCCTTGATGTTCCTAAACAAAAATTACCAGCTTTTTAAAAATCGCTTGTAAATCTCTGGTTATGCAATATTATCCCCAAATATTAGATTCAATCTCTCTATCAACTTGCTTTCTTTCAATTAGTATGGGTTTAGTATTTCTTTTTTTTTTTGACCTGATTCGGTTTTTGAGTGAAAAAGCATTATTTGTGGATAACTTTGACGATGTGAACACACTGAGGTGCATAAGCTCAGATCAATGAGGCCTACGATCAAGCCAGAAATACGAAACCTGTGCTAATTGAAATAAAGCAAGTTGATGGAAAGATTGAATCCAATAATTGATAAGAATAGAACATAACAGGGACAGCACAAGTGCAACAGTGTGTGGAAAACAATCCCAAAAGAGTACAACAATTATCACAATTTTTTGGGGGGAAGTTGTTATACCCTCTGTGAGCAAAGTTAGTTGATTTTAGTCCAATGCAGGAACATTAACTAGCATTTTCAGCCAACACGAGGGTTAATTGCACAAATGTAACAACAGTTTTTGCTCTCTAAGAGTAGCTCAGTCAACGTGTTACCTTTGCGTTTCCTGCCCCTGTGGCTTAGAAAATGGTAAAATACACTCCGACATTTCAAGTCACACAAAAGACAAACGCTAAAGAGAAAGAAATGGTCTAGGCCAGCTGAGGAACAGCCCCTAAATCTGGCACTAGAACATAAACCAACTTATTCAGTCTGAAATAAAGAGTAAAAACCAGAGCGCTATCTGTCAGACAGCATGCAAATATGAGCTCAGTGTAGGAAAACATTGAGAAATCATTAAGAAAGTGATGTAGAAAAACTGCTTCCATGATAAGCAGCTGTCTATATTTAATCAAGGCAAATAAACAAGGTCTCATTTATAATTTAGATTTGCATGCATTAAACAGGCCATTTTTAATCCATTTATTAATATGCATGGAAGATATTGTATAAATATGCAGCCTTATGCAAATACTAGACACATTTTTGTTTGTATTTAATTCTTATTCCCAGCTGTAGTTCGTGGCAGAAAATGGACTCAATTATTATTGCACAGCATGGGAAGGCATCATTTTTTTTCAATTAAAACTCAAAACACCAAAAGAGCAGAAAAATACAAAATAAGTCAAGAAGGTGATTGCTCAATAATTTACAAACAATTCCACAAGTGTGTCATTTAAGAAAGTTATGTCACACTTTACATTGCAGTCTTTGTTTTTATGTGCAGTTCTAACCAAGTGCATGTAATTAGTATGCCATTATTTTGTGTAGTAACCTATAAGGGTAATTAGTAACCGTAACATGTAATAGCTTTTTTATGATTTAATGATTTTATTATTATTATTATAATTTCTTCATAAGCTCCAGCTTGGGAAACCTTGACGTAATGTTTAATGCACTTCATATTGTTAATAACAACAAATGGAATATATTTTCTTTCTCTTTGTATTTTACATCAATATGGTACAAGATTACCCTGTTTAAATCAATGTGATAAACAAGTTAGGTTAAAAGTCATTTAAAAGTAATCAAAGTAGTTTGATTATATTACCTAAAATCTGTAATGGATTACGTTACCAGCTACAATTTTGTCATGTAATTTGGAATCAATAATAGCATTATCTATCCAGCACTGTGTGTGTGTATACATAAATATATATATATATATATATATATACTGTATGTTTACTTGTTGTTTTCGAAGTATGTTGACTGCATACTTGGGACAAATACTTTTCCAATGCATGCAAAAACCTGTTATCTGTGACTTCAACACTGGAGCTCTTCTTCATGGTTTATTGTTTGCAGTGTTGGGAAGGTTAGTTTAGAAATGTAATAGGTTACAGATTACAAGTTACCCTATCTAGAATGTAATAAGTAGTGTAACTATTTCAATTACTTTATTAAAGTAATGTAACTGATTCCATTTGATTAGCCTACTTTTTGATTACTTTTCTAAATTTCTAATGAATGTTTTAACTGTTAATCATGTTGAAACCTGTGAAGCTGGCAGGTTTAAGCTTACAGAACTCAACACTGATTACTCGCAGACTTTCAAAACCCTTCATCACTTGAATTAAGATTATAATCATTTAATTTTAAAGCACAGCTGCCACAAAATCAGACTTCAGCACCTCGTTTTTCTTTATGACAGGAAAGACTGGCATCTAACAATGGCTTGGAAAAATAGTTAATCTTAAAAAATAAAGCATATACATAAACCCAGGTAGGAAATAAAGCAGTTATGGAATACGCACGTGTCCTATTCTGTGTCCTAAGCTTCTGAAACATTGGTGTCTCATATTTTAGAGCAGTCACTGCAAGTTATGAAAGAAATCAATTAAATCTGTATGTGGATGTGTGTGAAATAAAATCAGATGTAACCCCCTTTGTGATCATTAACATTTTCCTAAGTAACTGTAATTTAATTACACATTTTTTCTCAGTAACTGTAACTGATTACAATTACATTTATTTTGTATTTAAATTATGTAATATAGTTACATGTAACTAGTTACTTCCCAACACTGATTGCTTGTTTGCTAAAACACAATAAACTCCTTGATGATGGGTTCCCTCTTGGTCCATTTTTTCCCAATTAACGGAATTATTTACGCGCTAAACTCTCCAATATTTCAGTGCGAGTTTCCAAATTTAATTGAGACTGGTCTAAAGTATTTTTCAGTTACCTCAATTATTCAGACATTTCAATTAGTCATCATTAACATCCAGTCTTTGATATGTGACCCTGGAGCACAAAAGCAGTGTTAAGTCGCTGGGGGATATTTGTAGCAATAGCCAACAATACATTGTATGGGTCACAATTATACATTTCTCTTTTATGCCAAAAATCATTAGGATATTAAGTAAAGATCATGTTCCATGAAGATATTTTGTACATTTCCTACCGTAAATATATCAAAACTTCATTTTTGATTAGTAATATGCATTGCTAAGATCTTCATTTGAACAACTTTAAAGATGATTTTCTCAATATTTAGATTTTTTTGCACCCTCAGATTCCAGATTTTCAAATCTTGTCCTATCCTAACAAACCATACATCAATGGAAAGCTTATTTATTTATAATGTATAAATCTTTTTTTTTTTAACTGATCCTTTTGACTTGTTTTGTGATCCAGGGTCACATATTTTATTTTATAGTTTTGGTGCGGATACTATAGTTTCTAAGGTTGTGCGTCCTGTATCAAAAAGCCCCGAAACTAAAGAGTGTCGTGTTCCTTTAAGAGCGGACCCCCCCTCGGCTCATCGCAGCTGTCAATCACGCGTCGGTATCTTTGATCTTCGCTGTTCTAAAGCGCGACTGTTTGTTACTTTGAAGTCGCGGCGATCGTCACAGCATAAAGAACTTTTCCTCTCTCGCGCGAGTCTCAAACGCTCTTCTGAGCGCGGAAAACAGCGACGACAACAACCAGAAGTGCATTAATAAAGTTGGTTCGAATATGCCGCAGCTGAACGGTGGAGGGGGAGATGATCTCGGGGCGAATGATGAGATGATCCCGTTTAAAGATGAAGAAGATCACGAGAAGATCCGCGAGAGCGCGTTTACGGAGAGCGACCTGGCTGATCTCAAATCATCTCTGGTCAATGAATCCGAGATCAGCCAGAACTCAAACTCTGCCGTAAGACCCCGTCAGCGCATTCATGTGTGTGTGTGTGTGTGTGTGTGCAGATGCTGTGAATGTGTGGTCGTGTGCGTGAAATAAAGTGTGTTTGTGATGAACAGGTGATCAGAAGAGGACAGCAGGAAGATCAGAGAATCTACACTGATAAACGAGAACATCTGGACGGTGAGACCACACACACACACACACTCTCTCTCTCACACACACACACACACACACACACACTCACTCACTCACACACTCTCTCTCTCACACACACTCTCTCCCTCACACACACACACACTCACACACACACACTCACACACACACACACACTCACACACACACACTCACACACACACACACACTCACACACACACACTCACACACACACACACACTCACACACACACACTCACACACACACACACACTCACACACACACACTCACACACACACACACACTCACACACACACACTCACACACACACACACACTCACACACACACACTCACACACACACACACACTCACACACACACACTCACACACACACACACACTCACACACACACACTCACACACACACACACACTCACACACACACACTCACACACACACACACACACTCACACACACTCTCACACACAGACACTCACACTCTCACACACACACTCTCACACACAGACACTCACACTCTCACACACAGACACTCACACACACACACACACACTCTCACACACACACACTCACACTCTCACACACACACACACACACACACGCACACACACACACACACACACACAGTCCCCAGAAGTGCTCAAAATGATGTAAAGTCTCCCCTCAAACCATGCACGTTTTGTTTTTAGTTTTTGAGGGGAGAGTTTTTACTCTGCTTTACTCTTCACCTACAAGCGCTGCTTGTTTGTGTGTCTTTATTTACACAAATCTGTGCCAGTGGCTTTGCGTGGTCTAGTTCTGGGACAGTAGCTATATGTCCCCGGACGTGTACTAAATCAGACAATATAGTAAAATAAATAATACTGCTTATTTTAGCTTTCTGTGTTAGAATGTGTCTGTGGCAGCCTGATAAAAATTTAATTGGGGAAATTAAAAACTTTCATCTGGGTCTGATATGTAACTGATGGACTTTTCTTGGGGAAAACCTGAAATCTGCATCATTAAATAAGCAGTTTTTATCTCAAGCCTGTTTGATCTTGTTTCCGTTATTTGCAGTCTAGAACTGAAACTGCTTTGAAGAGGATCTGTGATTGATCATCATTATATATTAACAAGGGAGTCTATAAATACAACAAACCTAAACCGTTCCGTATGAGGGCTTTGCTATAGCGGAAGTTTGTTTTTTGGGGGTAATTGCGCACCTTACACATTCACTAACTTCACAACTTTTATTGTTCTGTCTCGCTTTCTCACTTCAAGTGCCCAGACATCAAGATGGTGGAATGTATAAAGCGCCGTATTCTGGATACCCGTTCCTGATGCTGCCCGAGCCGTATCTACCGAACGGGCCCGTCTCCCCATCTGTAAGTTCCTGACAGCACTGCTGTCCTTCCTCTAGCATTTGATCACTAGTGTCCAGGTGTGTGTGAACCGTGCTGAAGGTCTGGTTAGTTTGAGACAGGCCTGTAAATACACTACAGCCTGAGAGGACTTGAGAAAAGGATGCAAAATGCAATTTGAATCTCAAGCTCAGGAGACTTTCATACATTACTTTAGATCTGTTAAGTCTTACAGCGATGCACGTGCTATTCAGAAAAGCAGTTTTAAAATATGTGGATATTCAGACATGGTCCTTTAAGTCATATGATGCCTTAAAGTCATTGTTTACACGTCACAATTGAGGAATATCTAATTGTGTGCATGCATTTGCGTGTGAGCATGCATGCATGCATACTGATGCCTTTGACCGCAAATCAATGGCGCATTATTTTACGGGCAAATCTAAAACATTTTGATGATGCTACATGACATCATTGTCTTATTTGTCATTTGTGTTTCGCGGTGGCATTGTGACTGTGTGGAAATTATGAATGTAAGTGTATTTATAAAGAAAAATGTGTGTACAGTAACTAAATCCAGGGTTTAGCTCGTACAGTGGTTACATTCCTTCTTGAAAACTGCTCTTATAACGTTGTAATTGCACAGCTGTAACGCCATATTTTGAGATGTTTCTTGCACATGTAGTGGTTGTTTCATTGAAACTATGAGATGAATAGAATCGAGCTGTAGATAACGGTTTTTGGACGGCAACATCGTCGACTGTGAAGTGCACAGATATACGGATATGCACTGGACATCATCAGCAGGTACGGTGATGATGGCTCTGAATGTCCGTGAAATGAAAGCATGTCTCACTTTTTGAAGTATCTTCCAGGTCTTTGTTAAATGGATAGTTGAACATTCTGTCATCATTTACTCTCCCTCAAGTTGTACAAAACCTGCATGAGTTTCTTTCTCGTGTTAAACACAAAAGAAGATATTTTGAGGAATGTTGGTAACAAAGCATTTGCCGGTCGCCATTGACTTCCATATTGTTTTTCCATACTAACACAATGGCTACCGTCAACTGTTTGGTTACCAACATTCTTCAAAGTATCTTCTTTTGTGTTTAAGTCAATAGAAGTTTGAAGTTTGGGTGAACTATCCTTTTAACTTCAATGCTGCTCAGTGAATGTGAGCGTTCCCGAGCTCCTCGAGGGTCAGAGATGTCTAACGGGACACGGCCTGATCGGTGGTCACAATCAGAGATTTTTTTAGTACTTTACAATCACGTAATGCTATTTTCAAACATCCCAGCTGAACGGAAACCATAAAATCGTCCAAATTCAAGAACTGTGCTTAGTCCCTAAAAAGTGGAAAGTATAGATTATAGTCGTGCACTGCATTCAAACTCCGAGGCGTGAAAAGAACATCTCTTTACCCACAATGCACAGCTAAGCTGTTGATTTTACACAGTAATTGGGGATCCTTTATATGTTTATCATTCAAACTCCAAGTGTATTTCATTCCCAAAGACCAAGCGATTGATTGAAGTTAAAGCGGGGCCTGCGTTCTCGAACAAGCCCCGATCGACATGAGCTCATGGTTCAAGCCGCCTTTAGTCTTTGAGTACACAATAGAAGAACGTGGGCTTTGTGTCATAATCCATCCAGAGCAGCTCTCTGACTGACAGCGATAAGTAACAGACACCGGATTACACCCTCTTTAAGAAAAAAGCTCTTTAACCCATTCTGCCACTTCAGTAAGGACACAATGGGCCGCTGGAAGGCTTCTCGCCTTGGAAAACCGAAGGCATATTCAACACACTTCACTACTGCGAAGAAAGCAGGGTGCGATCACTGCCATCTAATTCGTGTTTAAGAAAACCAAATCGTGTTGAAATACACACATTGATAAGAGAACCTCTTTGAGCGGTCTTTGAAGCGAGCGCCTGCGGACGAATCTGCACAGCTATTTATGGAGCCGGAAATATTTGGGAAATTATCAAAACCCGTCGGATCCCCTCAGGTGTTTATAGCTGTAATTATTGGTGCGGTCGTGTCTGTTCCGCTGCGAGAGAGAGGGACAGGTGTTTAAAACTGTCTCATCGCCCTACTCCAACATGTCGACGCAAGATCAGAACTCAAGCCAGAACTGTCGAGCAAATTCTTCTCGAATAGAAAAGACTTTTATCGAGGTGTGCGGCAGATGTCGCAGCTGTAATAGTGTCTGGACAGTTAAAGTAGCTTGTTCAACAGTTAATTTGTTCTGAGAATTGATTCAACCAATTTTCCCGTCCGAAAACTAATTTTGTGATTGTATTTGGTGAAGACTTGAGGCACTTCACCTTTTAAGGGATGGTTCACCCAAAATGAAAAATGTCATCATTTACTCACCCTCACACCTGTACGAGTCTCTATCTTCTGTTGAACACAAAAGAAGATATTTTGAAGAATGCTGGTAACCAAACAGTTGACGGCAGCCATTGACTTCCATAGTAAGGAAATAAAATACCGTGGAAGATCAGCAACTGTTTGCTTACCCACATTCTTCAAAATATCTACAAAATATCTTTGCTGGTAGCCACTGACGTCCATAGTATGGACATAAAATACCATGGAAGTATCTTCTTAAAAATACCTAAATTTTCCCAAATATTTTCCAAACAGTTGCTGGTAGCCATTGACTTCCATGGAAATTATGAAAATAAAATAATATGGTCAATGGGTCCAGTCAATGTCAATAGGGATCAGAAAATGTTTGCTTACCCACATTCTTCACAATATCTTTGCTTGTAACCATTGGAAAAAAAATACAATGTAAGTGAATGGCTACCGGCAACTTTGCTTCCCAACATTCTTCAAAATATCTTGTTTTGTGTTCAGCAGAAGAAAGAAACTCGTACAGGTTTGGAACAACCTGAGGCTGAGTAAAATGATGACAGAATGTGCATTTTTGGCTGAATAATAAAGTGCAGGAAAATGAGCTTTGATGAAGAAACACAGATGAATCAAAAGCAAAGAAGGATTTATTTGAAAACTCCTACTTCTTTAAATCAGCGTTCTGAATTTTCATTAGGCACATATTTCATATCGGTGTTTATGCTACTGTAAGTCTTGTCGTCAAGGCTTTCTCTTAATGAATCAACCCGCCACTCGTCTTGACTAAAGCGCAGTAAAAGTGAAAGAAAATCCCCACCTCAAGGCAACCATAGGCTTCTGACAGTCATCGATGACAGTCGCGACACAGCCAGTGACGCATGTGACGTGAGCAGGTGTTTTGTGTAGTGGACCCTGTGACGGCTCGGTCTCACCCAGGTGTGTGAAGTTGCCCGTGGGGTGGGAGGAGCCTGGAGTGACACCAGAGTCTGGCCATTGAAAGTGCTGCTGAACCGTGACGGTCACATTGTTTAATGATGAAATCATGGCAGTGATGTTCACTGTAGGGCTGGAGATTGATACAGATTTTGTGAATCAGTTTGATTCTGATTCACAAACTCTTGATTCCATTCAATTTTCATTTGATATCAGTGTATATATATATATATATATATGCTTGTCAGTCACAATCTCTGAACTTAAGCTGTAAACTATACAGTACCCTGTCAGTACATTGATATTAAAGGTTAAATTTAATTGCTATTTATTTGTAGATGTGATTAACAACAACATTGTATAAAAATATTTAAATTAAATGTTGATTTTTTTTTTTCATATTAGTTTTTATATTTAATAATAGAATTATGTTTCTAATCCAATTTGGTGTTAAAATATAAACTGTCATAAACTTTTCTTTTTTTTTCTTTCTTTTTTTTAATTGATTTTCACTTATTAACAAACAGAAACGCACACAAGAACCTCCTTGAGCTCAAGTGAGGAATACAAAAATTTATATAATATAATATAATAATAATAAAAAAAATACTATAATTACAATAATAAAAACAGTAATACAGAATCAACAGTTTAAGTGAAGATATGATGAATATATAATATATTGCATATATTTAACAAAATGTTCCTCTCTAGAAGTATTTTGCTAGGACATTGAATGGCTTTTAATGTTACCTGACATTGATTGCAAGTGCAAGTTATTGGCGTCTTTCCGCAGTTTTTCTTCCAGCAGATTTGAAAGCTGAGGCTTTGTTTCATGTCAGAAGTAACAGAGCACAAAGCTTATTGAGATTATTTGCTGGTGAGCTACAAATAATGTAAGTGAAGTTTTGTTCATGTATCTGTTGAAAACTGACCAAAAGCTTGATCTTGGAATTTAAGAAAATATCTCAAAATGAAGATTGATTCAAATGGAGAAATCAATATTTTCAGCCATACCATTCAATGCAAACAGACCAAAAACCCGGTTTTAATAGTAGGCTTGTGTATATTCAATACTGTTATGTTGTAAAGTTCATCCCATTTTACATCGGCTTCATCTAATTAGGACAATGTTTGATTCCTGCGTGCTATTGACTCAGTTGATGTGTGCTAGATGAGTTCAGAGCAGTCATTTGTGAGTTGCTCCGTTTTCCGTCACGCTGCCGTTCTGTTAAATCATTTCACCGTAGATTCCCACTGATTTGTGACATCTCGCACTTGTTTTGAGCAAGGTTTCAGTGGAAACGAAGAGTCTTAAACCTCTGTGATAACGTGTGTGTGTGTGTGTGTGTGTGTGTGTGTGTGTGTGTGTGTGTGTGAGAGTGAAAGTGTGAGTGTGAGTGTAGTGTGTGTGTGTGTGTGTGTGTGTGTGTGTGTGAGTGAGAGAGTGTGTGAGTGTGAGAGTGAAAGTGTGAGTGTGAGTGTAGTGTGTGTGTGTGTTGGGCCGTACCCAGCTGTGGCAGTCGTGCTGCTGGTAGATGGGTATCAGATGGGAGCGGGATTAGGCCGTGTGATCACACCCATGTGTGCCGCCCCATGTGGCTGCTGAGGCTCCAGTAGGTCTGGCCCGGCACTAATTCGGGGTGCTGGGGGCGTTGGCTGACCCCAGTAGTGGGTAGTGCAGCGCAGACTCTTGTGGGACAAACTCAGCATGTGTCCCAGAATTCATAGTTCCTGTTCTT